TCCTTCGAATAGATGGAATGTAAAGGAAATTTATTTTCAAGAAATTTCCTTTGAGCAGTTGCACCAAACTTGCATAATACCGTCATAAATTTAATATTCTTCAACATTTCATCTGTAAATTTTTTTGACTCTTCAAAGTCGATCACTGATCTATTCAATACGTGATTATGTTCATCTACAACCTTATTAATAAACACTAAAGCTTCAGGGTTATTAGTTTTAGGACAAGAGGCATTAACTAAAAATTGACATCCAGCCTTTTTTGATCCAGTATCTTTCTTCGAATCTGATACATAATTTCGGCTATGTACACAAATAAATGCACGACACCTAACTACACCTTCTTCACGATGCACTCGATCTTTAATTATATGAAAATCTTGTTTTTCGCCCATTTCTTCAAAAATAATTCACAACAATCCCAATCTGCAAAAGTTTTTCCTTTATACAAAAAATCAAATGTATTTACAACAGGTAATACTAACATATAAATTTGATTTAAAAAAATTAGTACTATTAACAATAAAGCATAATGTAGTACTCCTAATGGAATTAATTTAAACGACCCAAAATTGACCCAATTATAGTAAGTGTATCATATGGGTCATAACCCATATACTAAAGTTTTTATAACTGGATTAGCTTCAGTCTTTCAGATTAACCCTAGTATCAAATAATTACCTGCAACATTTTCTAATTCTAATATATATTCGTTTGTGCATTTGACATAGTTTTTATAAGAAAAAAAAAGGTTAAAGACACACTGTAAAATCGCGTAATTAAAAAAAGTTATTGTAACATTATATCAAATACTTGCCTACAGAATTTTGTAACATTTGATCCAAATTTCTTCTTCCAATCCTGAGATCTGCTCGCCCATACATTCTATGTATTTTAAAAAAAAAAAAAAAAAAACCATAAAATCATGTGGTTGAAAAAATTAGCTATTAAAATGTTATTTCAAATACTTGCCCGCAGAATTTAGAAACACTTGATCCAAATTTTCAGTTTCCAATTCTGAAATATATTCACCCACACCTTTTATATGTTTTTTTGTTAAAAAAAATGAAAGGTAAATTTGCGTGATTAGTAGCAGTAAAATGTTGCATTGCAGTTTGATGTTACTTGCCCGTGACATTTGTAGACATTTGATCTTGATCCAAGTTTTCTTCTAAAGTTATTCTCGAAATAGGTTCATCCATGTCTTTTATGTGGTTTTTTCTAAAAAGAGAAAGGAAAAGTTAACGACTGTAAAATTGAGTAGTTAAAAAAGAACTATGATGACTAAATGTTGTAATTGTTTAATATGACACAAATTTGTCGTAAGTATAAATTTATAATAACGCGAATTTCATGCAACGCGTTCAATTTTAATGCAGATCATGTGTAACTGTCGTGCCCCAAATGACAATTTTCCCAGATGACAATCTGGCCAAAATTATAAATTAATTAGCCCAGACGTTAAGGTTAGATTTGGGCAATTTTAATTTGGGCTGTCCCAATTAGCAATCGGGACAGGATTATCATTTGGGGTTAGGATTGTTAAATTACCGTAATTTTACGTAATTTTGCGTAATTTTGTGTAGGTTTTTGTAAAACGGTTACCATTTTATTAGTAAAAAGGTTTGAAACTCGCAAAATTACACAAAATTACATGAAAATGTAAAATTGTAATTTATGTAATACAACCCTATTTGGGGTACAACATAACCATCCGATTGAATTTAAATTTTATACTTATATATAAGATTGTATACTTATTAACTTAGTTTTTTTAGGGTATAGCGTTTTATTGCTATAGCGATAAATTGTAATATTCTTTTTTTAAAACTGATTGTTATTTTTAGATAATAAAAAATGCTTTTTTTTTAAATAGAATCGGTTTTAGAATAAACCTTTTAGTATATTGCAGATCATTTCTATATCGCGTAAAATACCTGCGGTTTGCAGATTATCCAAAAAAAGAAAATCACTAGGTGGTTCTTAAACAAAAAAAAATCAAATAAATCATGTGTTTAATACTATATATAAAATCAGATCCACTTCGCTCCCGTTTGAAATAACAGAACATTTTTATTATTATTCCTTTAAAGTTTCTTTTGAAGGTATACGTATTATTTTTCAATCTTATATCAGTTAGCGGGCCTGTAAAGCCTTGTTTGGTTTCGTACCTCCCTGGTGTTGTCAATGGACAATTGCGCGCTAATTCTTTACTGTTAAATATATTATTTGCTAATCGAATAAATACTAACTTCATTTTTATTTTATTTTATTTTTTTAACCTTTTGCAAGCTACTGCGCTATGGTATTATTTTTTCTATTCTCCTATTAATTTATAAAAGAAATAAAGAAATAACAAAAAATAATTTATTCTTGTGATTAGATTAATAGTCGCGAAGTTTTGAGGAATGTCCTTGCAAACGGATTCGGATTTATTAGGTTCTTCAAACTTTTGCAATACAGATTCTCCCAACGTGAACAAGCAGAAAAAAATTTGAAAAAGTTACTGGAAGAAATTGCATCTGAAAATGACGAGTTATCATCAAAGGCACAAGTGATGCTTCGTGATTTTGATATTATTATTAAAAATTTAGCTGCAGAACGATATTGGAACTCAACCAAAGTAAACGAAGAACGTGAAAAGACGCGTTTAGAAGAAATTATTTCTAATGAAAAAGAAGTGAGCGGAGTATCATACTTAAATATAAGCTTAATTATTTAATAATATAAAACTTTAAATACTTAGATAATATAAAACTTTAAATACAGAAACAGCACTTCTTTAAGCTGAAATCAAATATTGCTATGGAGCATGATATCGCAAGCAATTTGTTCCAAATCCAAATTCAGGTTAGTCATGAATTAATTATTTTATTAATGCATAATTATTTTTTTGAACGTCTATAAATTTTAAATTTTGCTGTTTGTAGAACCGCTTTAAACGTTATAACGATTCATCAAAACAGGTATAAGATGTGCACTTATGATATACCTGTCGTACCCCAGATTGGAATCGTCCCGATCCAGAATCGGACTGCCCCGGATGGGAATCTTGTGAATTGTTTTGCGGAATTAACACTTTAGGGTTAGTGTTAGAGTTAGAATTGGGGTTTATAATAAAAATTTTTTAATTTTGGCCAGTATAATTCAGGCCAAAATTACAAAATTCTCATCCGGGACTGTTCCAAAAAATTTTAATTCTTAGAATGACAGTAAAAAAAGGATCAAAATTGACGATTATTTTCCCGTACGCAGCATCACTCCTCAAACAAATATTAGTACTGTAGATTTAAACCCAGATGATTCCTGCGTTTCCTTTGTTTCACATGACATATCTTGTGAAAGTTATGAACAAGTAAGTTATTTTTCAATGGTCTAGTGCAAGTCAAAAAAAAAAAAAATAAAACCAGTATGTTATACAACTTTAACTTTGGAATTTTAATATTATAGAGCATTTGTGCAGATGAGGATGATAAATTCAAATCAATGGTACGAATGTCAAATAATACTTGAATAAAAATCTGATTTATTTTATTCTAAAGATCCGTAAATTATAGATTTCTTGGAAAAGCCATGACAATATTTTAGACATGCAGATGGATTTTGAAGAAAAAGATGAATTAACTGAAGATGAATTTGAAAAAAGGTATTATGACTATTTTCGCAAATACGTGCCATAAAGTAATTTTTTACAACAATTCACTTTATTATACAGATTAGCGGATACAGATATTGTCGACATAAGTTCGAGTAACCCTTCTTCAGTAAATAAAGTAGTTTTCAATAAATTAAAAAAAACCGCGCAATCTCAACCTCCACCTCGTATTAATGTTGATGGACTTAGAAAGTGGATTCAAAAAAATTATGCTGTAAAGAAAACGAATATTTTTATTTCTTTTTGTTCATTTATTTAATTTCTCAACATGTTAATTTCACATTTAGCGTGAACTCACCATTACGATGTCAAACCTTCGATCAACTACAACTATTGAAAATTTTAATACTGAACAAACTGATTTTATAAAACGAGTACTAGAAAAATCAAGCTCATGCAATTTCAAGCTGGACATGGGAAAAAACTCGATTTACTTATGGATGAGAATACATACACAGCAACGATAGTATCACCTGATTTTGAACTTTTGAAATTTTCTTTTCCTAATTTGTTTATTAGCAGATGGTAATAGCTAGCTTAAAAAGAATTAATTTTCGTATCAATTATTGGTTTAACTATTCTATTTTTCATAGGAATGATAATGAAGTTCCCTCGTCTAAATGGTGTAATGAAATTGTTTACGGTGATGAAAATGCTTTTGCGCGTAATGCAGATGGCATTCTTTTTAATTACGAGAATACTAGCCAAGAATTTTTACTTTTTGAAAATGTCAGCTCCCCATTAAAGACAAAAAATCCAAAATATAAGGGCGACCTTTTAAAATGCTTCCAAAACTCTGTAGATGCAATATGCAAAACTTTCTGGAACGGGGATGGTGATGTAGAATTGGCTAAAAAGTATTACGTATTAGCCTATGTGTTGTATAGTATGTTTTTAGTTATTAGTTTCTATTTTATTATATGTTACTAGCTAAGATCTTTATTTAAAAAACATA